AGATACACTGTGACAACCAAGAGAGTACTTTGTACTTTGAAACTATAAGCATACAATTTTACTTCTACATTAATTTACTGATAATGCAATTAAATCTGCCCTTTAATCCTAAAGAACATGACTAATTTGTCCAAATTATTCTCTCAGGTATTCCATGAGCAATTTTAGAATCTGATTTGTGTTATATAAGAGAAATGGATTGATATTTCACGACTGTATTTTAATTGCTGTATTAATTGGCTGGTATATTAGAATCACAAGTAACATTAAAGTTTGAAAATAATTTGACCATGGTTTCTACAACTCAAAATGAATAAAACTGTAATCAGTTTATTTCAGGAGACATTTATTGAGGTCTAGGCACTAAGGCATCCTGACAGGTCCTGCTGAATTCAAGGTTAAAATTATTTCAAAATGGTGAGCTTTCATTTTTCTAATATCTGGAATAATGAGCTACCAGTTGCTGTCAAGTTGATTCTAACTCCTGATGACTCCATGTGTATCAGAGTAGAACTGTGTTCCATAGGGTTTGCAATGGCTGATTTTTTGGAAGCAGATCACCAGGCCTTTCTTCTAAAGTGCCCTCTGGGTGGACTCGAACTGCCAACCTTTTTGTTGCAGCCTAGCACATTAACTGTTTGCAACATCCAGGGACTCCCTGTAGAATAAACAGAGTTTAACACAACCTTTGATTTTCTCCAGTAAAGGTTATTTTAGGCTTTTTGTGATTATAAAACATATTCTAATTTATATTGGAATCAGATATCCCACATAAGAGAGTTCCTAAAATAACCTTTTAGTAATTATAATTCAGAAAGCTTGAGAGGAACCCAGGTGGATGCAAACTTGTGAGAGAACTAAACATCATAATTTGCCCTCAGGTTCCCACAAGGGGGAGAAGCTCACAATAGGAATCAAAATGTCACACAAGCTAGGATTATCATTTACTTTTAACACCAAGATGACAAAGAGTCAGTGATATAGCATCCACATTAGATAATCAATTTCCTGCCTTTTCTGATTCCTGCCAGTTAAATTGGCAAAAAAAAAAAGAGGATTGATAATATTTTTAAAGTATGGAATGATGCTGCACATGTTTGATACTAGAGGGAAAAATGTGGTCTTTCAGAAAGAAATATCAGAGTTAATTAGTATTAATGTTGAGATATTTTAATGCCAGCTTGAAATCAGATGCTAGAGCTGCATATAACTGACTATGAAAGAGTAGGAATGGAATTCGGGATAAATTATTAAAATCTTCTCAAAGCGTTTAGCTTAGGTTTGTTTTAATTAAATTCTCTTTCCTTGAGTAATTTTTTCCATGTATTACAAGCCTGCTGATGAATTTCCCTGACCATGTTCTCTACTCCCATTCACTTAATTTTAATATCTTCCCAGCCATTGAGTATTTGGAGAGGAATAGGTCAGTCTCTTAGAAATCTTGTTAAGAGATAAACATTTCTCCATTCATATCTTTTACACAAGATAAACATTATACCAAAAAGCAGTTTAATAAATGGAAAAGTTTACAAAATCTCCTATTCTGATGTAACTTTTTAATTTTCATTTTGCATTATCTCTTGCAATCTCTATCAAACAACACACATTTGAACATAATTTTATT